TATATATATATATATATATATATATATATATATATATATATATAGAAAAGAAAAAGATACTGGGAAAAAAAAATACTTAAAAATTTACTTGGGAGATATAAACTTTATTTCTGTGAAATAACCTTTATATATCTCGCAAATAAATTTTCAAATATTTTCTTCTTAGTGTGCATTATTTAGTACACACATGGTTCTTGTAAAGTTCACGTGAAAACGAGTATTTGTGTATTCTCCTCCCTTCGTTGGCAAGTAGGAGGACCGAATAATCAATAGATTCAGCAGTGTGAGAAGGTCACGATTCTTCAGGTACGGTTTTCGTATATACACTCTGCCCGTCTAACGTATTGATCAAGTATTTGTACACTTGTAATACTCCATTACTTCGAAAACTGTTACACAGAGAGGATCGCTTGCCATGGAACGATTGGCACGTGTAATATAATAGATTCAGGGATGAGAGGAGAAAGAAAGAAGAATTGCACACAAAAACAAGCATACGTTTTTCTCTTGACAAGTATCGTATATTCCAAAGTTGATGCACTTTTTATTTCGCAATGTTAATTAGATTAGAAAATTTTCAGGCCTCTTTCTGATTTCGTTAAAAGTTTGATCGTCACTATCTTTTCAAATAGCAATATTATTCGTCAATAATTCAAAAATTTAAAACCTCGTTTAATGTTAACCCTATGGAATTCTGATTAATGAATTCAGTTTTGAAAATGAAGGAAGATATATCTATTAATGATATACACAAATGTTTACGAATGGGTTTCTTTTCTCAATAAATTCTACAAAAAATTTATATATTAATGAAATTGAAGTTTTAAATAATAAAATTTTTAATATCAACGTTTCAGCTCGAGGAAAATGGAATTTTCCCTAGAGAGTTATAAAGGAACCAGCAAGACTCAGCACTTAAGTCAAGTAAGAAAGGAGAAGATCATTTATCCGGATTGTGTCCATAAAACTCAATAAATTCTACGTGCTATTACGTGCTACGTTATATTGATAACTTAAATCGGAGGAAGAAAGAGTACCCAATTTATTCTGATTATTTTAATGGAGATCAGAAGAGAAAATTTGAGAAGACATCTCGAAACTCTTATTTTGAAAACAGTTTTGGAAATCTTGGTCTCCAGCTCGTGACGAATTTTCACAATCGATTAATCGATTAATTGGCACTTTGGTTCTCCATTGTAAGAAACAAAAGTACTAAAATCGCAAGTAAATATTTATTTTGCTAGTATTTAGTATAAAATATCAAAGGGAAGTCAAAATTAGGTCAAAATTAGGTCAAAATTAGATTCCACTATTGGCAGGCTATAATTATTTAAATGCAAGGAAATGCTAATGCAAGGAAAAATATGCTACAGTAGCGAGAAAAGATCTGCTAGGTATTCAGTTGACAAATCGACGATCTTTCCTTTTATACGGGAATAGTAAAAGAAAGTATTATTATTCGTTCAATACGCAAAGTGCTAGTCCGTTTGATCCCTATGAATCTCTTCAACCGGTCTAGAGGTTTTATCCAACCGCCGCATCTTTCCGCGGCAATATGCATTCGTGATTTCTATTGCATTACGGGTTTATGCTGTATAAACAAAGCTGTTATTTCCTGTTTGTTGACATTACAGTCACACACATCCGCATTTAACTGTTCCAGATTTCGAGTTTACTTTCAACTAGTAATCTGTAAGTGCTGCCGCGCGATTGGTCGTACGAACGCGCGAAGCCGCGAAATGCAGGAACTGACAGGATTCCAACGTTCGGTGGCTTGCAATTCGGGTGAGTGTTTATCTTGCTCATTATTTTTAGTCGAGTCGCAAGATGACGTTGAACTAGTGACACATTTTATCGCGTTTTCATTCCACAATCGCGCTTAACTCACTCCAGCGGGTCATCCCGTGAATTTATTTCACGTATACCCGACAATCGGAACGAAATATCCCTGTCGAGTCTGCGTTGTCTGTGTTGTTCGTCTGTCCAGTTTCGAAATGAGTGTATCCATACAGTATTCATACAGTAATGAAATGAGTGTATCCATACTGTATCCATACAGTAACAGTTCTCAAGCTCGTTGCGCGTGACCGACATATTATCGATATTATTTTAATAAAATTCATGGTCGAATCTTCCCTTTGCGTTTGTTCGCCGCAAAGTACGATTTTCTGCGCACAAGAGAGAAAAAGAGAGAGAGAGTAAGAAAAATGAGTGATTTCGTATCTCGTTATAATCATCCCAATTATATTCGCTGTCTGCGAATATTGAAGCTAAGCCGATCGTTATATTGACAGTGTTGCGTTCTAACGAGTCGGCAATTCGTCGAATTATTTCATCTGAAGCATCTCGGACAAATAACACCGACTCGCACGATATTTTATCCAAAGGATCACGCTTGATACTGAAGCATGAGTATCTCGCTGCAAATGAGTTAAATCCAACGACATATATACTGTCGGCTAAATGTTCCAACAAAGTTGAGAGTTTGGCAGTTGAAGAGCGAGAGTGGAGAGAGGTAATCCGTTCGTTCACGCGAATGCTTGTTTCTCATCCCGTCTCATGGCGAGAAGATGTCGTCATACGACAAAGTGACAAAGGGACACGATATGTGTCATTCTCTCTTTCTCTCTTCCTCGTTCTCTCACTCTCTCAAACTACCAATTTCCGGCTTTCTACGGCATATCTGCGACCGTACTGAAAGCGAGTACTCAATCTACATTTGTGCACGTTATCAGTTAAATCGTTTATTTTGGATCTTTTCGGAAATAGAGCGCTACTTACGCTAAGAGGTTGAATCATCATTCCTATTTGACATTTTCTATATACTTCGCTGGGCGAGGAAATATCACCAACGTGAGAGAACATCACCAAGATGTCAATAAAGCATGATATCTCTTTCATCCGTATCTAATCGCACCATTGGAAGCTAAAGTGATATTCGACTATTGGGAGCAAATGAGTATAAGAAATGTGCTTTCATCTGACGAAAAAGAGGAAGAATCTTCCTTTTCGAGGTATTAATTATTGCAATTTCACAACTAATCTGAAATTGCTGCTTGATTTGCGATTAAAAGCTTTCTTTTACTTCTTGGAGCTTTGTAATCACGCGCGACAGAGAAGGACGATGATCTTTTGATCACTTTTAATCAACTGAAAAAAAATTAATACTGCAAGGAATAATTGGTAGCGAATGAAAATCTAATATCGTTATTTGCGTTTTAAACCGCCCTTTCGGCTTAAATTTGCTTGAGTTCTAACGAATTGGAATATCCACTTTCCTAAATGAATTATCAACAAAAGTGCGGTTTTACTTGCTACATTTCGTTTATACGGTTAATTTTCAGTTCGCTCGAAACATTTTCATTATGCGACACGGTAATGGACATTTTTTTATAACGTCGCACACACACATGTGCAAGCCGAGTAACTCGCGCAAGATGTTCTCATACAACGTATTATTTAACGCATGGTGCGAGTTTATGCTGAAAAACATTATCGTGCCAGATCTCGCCGACGAGTTTGAAGTTGCTAAATTTTCACGTTAATTGCCCGCGGAATTACAGCCACCGAGCGACAGACAGATCGTCATGAAATATTGTTCAAGATAATATCATTTTCAACAGAATCGTCGCTCTTACATAAGTCAAGCGAACAAACCATAATATGCCGGTTGGCTAGAGAGGAGCTCATCGATCCAACTTTATCCCTCGAAATACGTCAAGGGATAAATAGAGGGGGCCGTAGAACTTCCGTAATGTATGTCTATAGGATGTACCGTAACGATCGATATGCCATTTCATTGCCGATGTGCTATTTCAAATCTTACATAAATAAAGTATATTTACGTAAATATGTATATGATTTACGTAAATATGTATATGATTTACGTAAATATGTATTCGATTCTGAATTTGAGTTGTAATATGTTAAACGACTAATATCTCTCTCCCGGAGTCGCGAGTTTTACAAACTAAAAAGACGGAGTTCCTCCGAAGTATCGGACGCATTCGAGCGAAAATAGTCCATCGGTAGAACGAACGAGGATGAACCAATTCGACCATCAATTTGTCACTCGTGACTTTGGTCATATGCAGCAGTCTCAATTTACCAGTCCGGCTATTCGTATCACTCGCGGAAAAACACGATCAAGTAATGTAATTTCTCGATGTTGCGAATGATGTGACTATGAGAGCTGTCTTTATTCTCGAAAAATTGTCTTGTTGAAAAATTGAACGTAATGCATTGGACACTATAAAGATACGAGTTTACATCTGTAGATTCGTTAACGGGAATCAAGTAACTCAAACAGCAACGTGTTAAGATGAAAAGGAGTGCATAAGCAATTTTTTCAATTTTGTTTTATATCAAATTCCACCACTCGAAAAAAAGACGGAAAAATGTCTCTCGAATGATCGTTAAATTTATAAATTTATGACTCAACGTTATGTATCCTAAAAGGGTTTTACATCTCTATAATTATATAAAATATAATTTCAAAAGGGACTAAAGAGCCAAGGTGCGGGTGTTAAGTGCTACTTTATATTATACATTATAAACTATTACAACTTCAGACGTTTCGACCATGTTATAGTTTATAATGTATAATATAAAGTAACACTTATTCCGCACCTTAGCTCTTTAATCCCTTTCGAAATTATATTTTTATAATTATAGAGATGTATATAAAACCTTTTTAGGATACATAACGTTGAGTCATAAATTTTATATGAATTTATGACATTTTATCTTTCTTAAACTTTTCTTTTAAGTTAAAGAAACGAAACTTTGCTCTTCCGCTACGAAACGTGCTTCAGATCACCCGGCATATCTCTCGGTCGCGAGGAAATTGCATTGGCAAACGTTTAATCTAGTACGCACTTCGGTTTGTTTCCAGGTCGTTACAGATCGACCTCCATCAAGTGGCGACAGAGCATGGCAGAGAGCCAAGTACATACGTTCAGGATGAACTCCCGAACGACGTGTGAAAAGCTCCAGTCCAAAGAGGACGTCTCTATCATTTGAGTGGAGTTTTAGCTGAATCGTACGTCGCGAGAGACATATCCGTGTCGTTTGAATCTATGTCGCGGTACCACCAGTTCTTCGCGCCACTATAACGTGAACTACGACGATGAGAGCGGTAATAATCGAAGTATAATATAACGCAGCTCTCTTACAATCGCTAAGTGGCCAATAACAATAAGTTAACAAGTCGGTATAAGTAACAGCTCACCATTGTCACTTTTTGAAAGATATTATTTTCTTACTGGTAAATATGAAGTCGATGCGTGTGAATGTGTATAACGGAGAAAGTTCGATGTTATCTATAATGTGTGGACGAACATCGTAATGTAAATTGTAAAGATATACTACGTATACATGCGTACATCATACATGCGTCTTATACATTTGCGATAACATACGTTATTCTCGAAACTGTCGTCACTGTTCAGTTTATATCGTGACGACAGAGTTATGTAATTACTATGAAATAAATGTGATTTATTCACCTATACCAAAATGTAACCCTGTTTGGGATTAAAAATTCTTCATTATTCCTTCAATTCTGTAAGTATGATTGATGATTACGTGCATCATATTATGTACAAGCACATTTCTCACTCTTAATTAAATTAAGAAATACATTTCCGCTTTTCGGATTACTCAACAGTCATGAGAAACGCCTAACTAAATACGGAAGTAGTTGCGCGAAAACTTAGTAAATATCAAAACTGTTTCTTTTTATACGTAATTAAGGTTTTTTCTCATATTGTAAACAATGTTACCACTGAGGAGGGTCCACTGAAGGACCGAAATGCGTTTGGTTATTTAAATAAAAACATTTTTTTACTTCTACATAAGTGAGGATAGATACTAGCTGTCTTTTTTTATATTAGTTTTTATTTTAGTTAATTATATAACACTACTATACATCCGTGTTGTTTTTTATAGACCCTTATTCTCCCATGTTTTTGATTTTATCAATAAGACCCATTAAATAAAAATTCTTAGTAAATATCGATCTATCGGTAGAATCCTAAGTGTATACGTCTTACTAATAAACGAAAGCCATCTTCCGAGATTTGTTATCGCGAATATTCCTGTCGTCGTCTTTTTCTTTTTATCTATGATTATCATCGAATTTCTAATACCTGATTAATAAGTCCGACAGTCGCCCGACTCTGCTACTACTCGAGTGAGTGGGTAAAAACAAGTGCAAGAGTTGCGTTGACTCGCGTTGACTCGAGTTGAGTCGCGTTGACTCAACATGTCGACTCGACACATCGCGACAAGCACCAATTGAATTGCGTGTATCGAAAAATGAGAAGATTACTTACTAATAACATCGATACATTCCTGAAGAAAAGACGACGACAGTAATATTCGCGATAACAAATCTCGGAAGATGGCTTTCGTTTATTAGTAAGACGTATACACTTAGGATTCTACCGATAGATCGATATTTACTAAGAATTTTTATTTAATGGGTCTTATTGATAAAATCAAAAACATGGGAGAATAAGGGTCTATAAAAAACAACACGGATGTATAGTAGTGTTATATAATTAACTAAAATAAAAACTAATATAAAAAAAGACAGCTAGTATCTATCCTCACTTATGTAGAAGTAAAAAAATGTTTTTATTTAAATAACCAAACGCATTTCGGTCCTTCAGTGGACCCTCCTCAGTGGTAACATTGTTTACAATATGAGAAAAAATCTTAATTACGTATAAAAAGAAACAGTTTTGATATTTACTAAGTTTTCGCGCAACTACTTCCGTATTTAGTTAGGCGATCGCACGTCGCTCTCTCGGCACTCTCGGCACTGATTTCCGCATGAGACTCATTTTCGACGAACGTAAAAAAATGCGTAAGTCGCTCCGCGACTTTGACGCCTTCTGTAGTTCGATAGAGTCGACTGCACTCGATAGATCGATAGTTATTAGAAAGCTTCGACTAGCTCAAAGATATCTAGGGGCGGAATTCATAGATATATCTTGAGTTTCAAGACCGACTTAAGCTAATGCTCAAGACCACGAATAATTTACAAACATTACTTGAGACTGAATTTCAAGCTAAATCTTAAGTCCATGCTTAATTAAGTAAACATCGTGTCATAGTCTAATCTTAAGTACTACTTGATATGATGAGATGCACAGTAACTGCTTAAGCTACATCTTAAACCAATCTTATCCAAGTCTAATAAATTGTCAACTTGAGGCGGTCATGAAATAAAAAATATAGGTGTTTTAGCAAGATGTGTTTGGACATTTCTCCTGGATATGCTTACTTTACAATTCTCATTCCACTTTCTCTCTCATTCGAACGCAAAACAAGAAAAATTATATACTCAAGACAGTTTTCTGAACGCACCTTCATAGATGTTTATCGCATTTGACAAGTGAAATAGGTTAAATTGGACTTATATAAATTCGCTATAAACAACGAGGGACAGTAATATTACATCAGTGTTATAATTTCTCTACAAAACAATATATACAATACATATTATGTTACAATTACATTGTTCTGTAAGAAATTATAGCACTGGTATAATGCCATTGTTCCTAGATGTTTATTGCGATTCTACTTTTACTCGACTGATATTCGTTTCATTTAATTTGCATTTCGTTTGATCTCTTTGTTTGCAAATATTAATTTCATTTATTGACTAAATATTTTTAATATTTTTTAACACTTATTTTGAAATAATTTATTGCATTATATATATATATATATATATATATATATATATATAATTACATTTATATATTCTTTTATTATAATTTATAGATAATTATTTTATAATTTGTATAAAATGATAAATTTAACCTAATTTAATCATGTTTCTTTAAGTAGTAATAAGATAATTATTGTGTGATTTTTGAATCAGATATAATTATATCTTTTTATCAAAGAGTTTTCGAATACACATAAAACACCATTTAAATTCCGCGCGCGTTATATATTTATATAACTGTAACTTGTATATTTATATAACTGCGCGTTATATATTTATATATTTGTATATTTATATATACTTGTAGAACTTCAATATCATATAGTTAAAAATCCCGAATACTTCCGAAGTCGGAAGCTTAAGCATAAGTTTTCTTAAAACGATCTTAAGCTCAAACTCGAGTTTTCAAGATTTAACTATGTATGTAAGACTATTATAAGACGATCTTGAGTGTTAAGCTGATCTTGAAAATGATCTTAAAAATAATCTTAAAAATGATCTTAAATGTGCTTAAGACAGGTTTCAAGTAACGTTTATGAATTCCGTCCTAAATTAGATTGCTAACATGTCATCATTGGCATAGCATGACGCGTCCGATAGATTTTCCGGTATATGCGAGAAAATGGCCGCTGCCGCCATATATTTTCACTACATTTAGTCATAAAATTCCTTTGTTGAAAATGAGCAGAGCAAATAACGTTCAATACAATCTTTTTTTTGCGATATTTTTTTATGCAACAAGATGCTGGCATTTTTACGACATCAATTTAATGGTCACGCTGATTCACATTGTACGTTGTAAGTACTCATGCAAGTGACACGTCACACACACAAACGTCACATACACAGGACCACCGCCATTTTCTCGCATACAACCGGAAACTTCATGCGATACAAGTTCGAAGCCTCAGTTAGTAATCTAGTTTAGTATAGACATCTGTGGATCAGCTACACTTGCTTCTAGGGACGCGTTTCTTTTCATTGATAAATAATACAGAAAATTATCACTGGATAAATAACGATCGACAGCGCAGATCGATATAATTGTCGGAACGCATTGTCAGACACTCTATTTATACTTTTAGTGAATTCTCAATTTTCCCATAATTATACGAATAAGATTGACGAAGATCGACGATAGATATTTGATATTATACTCGGAACAAAAAGTATGACAATTGTTTGTGATGAAATTGAGATGAATCAACCTAGACTTATCTCTCTATTATTGAATTCTTGTCGCAACTAAAAAAATGGTTTAAAATGCATCAGAAGGCAATTATCATTGTGTGTGGAGACACATTAATTAACACTCCATTCTCTGTGCTCTCACACAATGGACCTTAAAGAAATCTTATTTGCGAGCAAACATTCTAATGAAGACGTTTTTTATTGTAATTTCATTTCGTCGAGATATTTTTAAACGAGCCATTTAATTACGCATCACCTTTTCCTGCGTCATTATTTGACTGGCAAATTATAATATTGTGCATACGCAAAATTATTACTCTCATTAGCGCGCGAACGAAAGCTTATTACGAACTTTAGAGTTTTGGTGGACGAATAGCGCGATATTCTACAAAATACATAACGCACTAGAATGAGATAATAACTTGTTCGGTCTCATTTGTATGTCAACAGCATATATATTCCCTTTTGCTTTGCGCGCTTCTCTCCTTGAACGGCATTAAACAAATATCATCATGATTTGCTTGAATCGTGAGACTAAGGAAAAAAATCGTAGCAAATAATTGGTTCCGAGAGTGCGGTTGGCGTATGTAAATTGAAACGTGGGTGCGCGACGTGGAAAAAACTCAAGGTGCTTTCATGCGGACGTATAAACAATGGTTCACTACGTACGCCGAAAGATTTGAATGCATTCGGCTGTATTCATTCACGCAGCAAGAAATTACTCGCGCAAACTATTAAATTCAGCCTGACTTTCTTACCGGTTCCCGCAATTAGCTCGGAAACGGAGAACACACCCACTCCCAATTCTCCACTTATTACCGAATATGCAAGTAAAATTTTCATTATTGACCTCGCGTCGAGCATCTGCAGTTCATGCAAATCGACGAGCACGTTTGCACCAATTAAATTAGAATTAGGTGCAAAAAGTTAATACAACGTTGCGAAAAGTTAACACGACGTTCTGAGTGTAATGCGGCTGAGAGATCACCGTGATAGTTCCCGCTCTTTAACCTATTTTTCCTATCGATCGCAGAAACCAGTGTTTTGCTTATCTGCGAAAGAAAATATTGTATGGTTGTTTTGAAGATACAATCGCGCAATAGGTTTTATTATACCTATATTGATTCAGCATTCATTTACATAGGTAAGACTTTTTCTGTGAATTGTTTTATCTGGTATGTTTTAGTAACAGCTTTTTTTCACTTACGCAAATGTTTGATTTGAATATATTGCAAGAATAAATATTACTTTTACGATACTGTTTAGCAAAAAACAGAAGAAAAAAAGATTCATAGTATCGAGAAATCGTGTAAAATATCCATTTGGAATTATTCGGACATTCCTGCTATTTATATTGATTCTCTTCCGTAATATTACACAATTTCGTATCGGATAAATCGGTTTCCTTGTCGATAAAATGTTTTGGAGGGCAGCTTACACAACTGTTGTTTTGCCGCA